GTAATGATGACAAACTGCTACATCCATCCACGGTCACTATCATCATCTATGCTGGTAAGAAGGGCGTGGTGGCTACGTTTGCTGAAATTTATTACTCCCCTACGGAAAATTTTGGGGGGAGTAGAGATTCATCATGTGTACCAGGGTTAGGATTTTCCCAATCTCTATGCACAACTGTCGTAGACAAGCCACCTTTCGCCATATATATGGGCCTACTTTTGCTAAGCAGACCTGGTACCGATGGCAAAACTCTAAAATCATGGGGTCGAAACCTTCACTCGTCCCCAAGGAAAACGGACCCAAGGTGAATGGATACGCATAGACATACTTAAATCCCTCATTGGTAAAGTTAAGTCGCTCTATCATATCCGGATTGAGGATGTTAGATCAGGGTAGTTGCAGTCCTCCTTCACTGCAGGTATACTAGAAGGGCGAATGGAGGAGGGGTACCTACTGACGGCCCAAGTATGTGGAGACGCAGATGGAACTTTCTCTTGGAAGTCATTAACGGTACTGAGGTGTTTGGGTATGATGGTGTTTACGGTGAGAGGATCAGCATCAACGTCAGCTTCTTTGTCTTTGCTTCTCTTCGGGCAAAGTTTCTAAAAGGTGCAGTAGAAGAAGCCATGGTAGTAAGAAGGCAATAAAATTTTCAGAAAAAGTTAGAGATGATGAAATTTTTCTAAGCAGGAAGAGGTTGAGTGCAAAGAAGACAATAAACTTATGGAAATTTTGGAAGTGAAAGTGGTAAAATGATGAGTAGAAGTAAAAATATAGGCGGCAAAAATCATGGTCATGATTACCTCGAGAACCAGCAAAAATATTGCTGAATCATGAGGCAACACGTGTTCGGAGTATTAAATGCGAGAAAACGTGCGTCCTTTCAAGCGTCAGAGACTGTTCAGAAGATTTTTCACCAAGAAAGGGATTTTCACTAACTTCTCGGTGATATAAAGATATGCCACCGGAAAGCAGGGGGGCTATCTATATATGGTAAAATCGAGTTATGGTAAATTCTCGAATAATAGCATGACACGTGGAACCGAAGACAGGTAAAAGGCGAATCAAGTAACAACCAGTACCGAGAACAACAACTGCAATTGACATCGAATAAATCCCGAAGGAAGCATGGTCAACGGGATCATGTCAAATATTTACCATCAGATAGAATTGAATGAAAAATATTCTCTAACATTAAATGGTCAGCCGTTGCATAGAATATTTGTATTCATGGTCTGCCGTTACATATTCATCAATGACTCATTTATTATTATTTAAGTGGGGTTTGATCCTGGGATCTTATTTCCCTGGGTATAGCTATAAATAACAAGCTCAGCAACCATTGTAAGGGAGGATATTCTTGGCAAAACATATGTTGTATTCCATTTTCGCTCTCAATTAAATAATTTTATTTACTCTTTTACGGTGTTCTCATTCCTGTTCTCGAAAACACTGTTCTCGGAGCCAGGCTTGTCATCTTTTTCATTTTTAAACACTAAGTCTTACTTTTAATCTTATTTCATTATCATTTTTGGATCAAATCAGTTCGTTTGTCTATAAATCATGTAACATATTTAACTGTACCGTTCTACGGGTAAACAAACATCGAATGCGGATAAATTTGTCAAAAACCCTTCTATACATTAAAAATAAACTAGCAACCGACATTCTCCATACTACTAATCACTAAAAAGTTTGGAATTTTTACCTAGCTATACTATAATAGAAACCTATTTACCATATTTATTTAGGTTCCTTATTAAGTCTCTTTGTATATCTATATTTACAAGTTATAAACAAAACCATAAAAAATAAATATAAAAAAAAATAAAAATTCAAGATCCCTTAATTCTAGCATATAAGTTACACGACACCTACCCCCATTTCCAATAAACCTCCCCTACATTTAAGATTTTGTTTCTTTTTTCTCTCTTTCTTAATAATGACACAAAATCTCTCTTTTATTTTTATACTCCCTCCCTCCCAAATTTCCTATTCTTTTCCTTTTCTAAAGATTTTCAAACCCAATCTCTCTCTTTCTTACTGATTACCCAAAATCTCTATTTCTTATTGATACAATGCAAACAAAATTCAGAATATTACTCTAGAATCAAGTTATGGGTAAGTTTTGAATCTTATTTTCTTTCTTTCTAAAATCTTTATTGTATGTGACTTGTATATGATACATCAATACCCAAAACAATACTCGATAAAATACTAATACAATTACAATATAATTATATTAGATTTTTAGTGTAGAGTTATGATTGAAACTTGAAGAAGAAGAAAATCATAATTGTATCACAATTTTTCAGAAATGTATCGCGATTGTATTCTAATTGTATATTTTTCATAATTGTTGCATGAATTGTATTACAAATGTATGATAATTGTATATTCATTGTATATTGTTACGAGCAGCTGTGAGTTCGTGACGAATTTCACAGTTTGTATCACAAATATATGATAATTGTATATTACTTTATTAGTATTATATCAGGTATTATTTTGGATATTAATGTACCGGATACAAGTTAGATACAATTGTGATACAAGTATGATATAATTATGTTTTAGGATTGATGTATCTGATACAATTCAAATATAATTATGATACAGTTATTATTAATCGCATCAAGAATAAACATTGATATTTACCTCTTATTAATCTATTAAGATTTAGGGTGTGTTTGGTACTAGTTTTTTCATGTTTGGTTGGCAAAAATATTTTGAAAAATACTTTTCTCATGTAGGAAAATGACTTCCCTATAANCTAATCCCACCCTAACGCCCTACCTCCAACCCCTTAACCCCTACCCTCGCCACTACCACCCAGGCTCAGGGTCGGCCTAATGACCAAGCAAGTAAAGCACTTGCTTAGGGCTCCTTATTTGTAGGGGTCCAAAATTTTCTAACAGTTAATGTATTTTTTCCATTCTTTTTAACAATATTAAGTATTTGAAAAGAAAAAAAATGCAAGTTTCAAGGAAAAGAGACTGTTGGAGAACAATTGGAAAAGGAATATATTTTTGCGATGGAAATTTTTAGAAGATAATGTACCCAGCCTAACTCTTAAATCATTATCACAAACGCGTTGGGAAAGTCGTATTGAATGTATTAAAGCAATACGATTTCAAACTCTACAAATAAGAAATGCTTTATTGAAATTAGTAGAAGTTAGTGAGGATCCAAAAACTAAAAGTGAAGCTAGTTGTTTAGCAACTTGTGAGCTTGAAAATTTTAAGTTTTCACTTGGTATGACTATTTGGTATGATATACTATTTGCAGTTAATTCATTTAGCAAACATTTACAATCAAAAGATATGCATATTGATGTTGCCATAGATTAACTTAGGAGTTTGATTTTTTTTTTCAAAAAATATAGAGAAGAAGAATTTGCAACTACCGTGATTTCTTCTAAGGAAATTGCATACGAGTTGAATATAGAACCTGAATTTCGTAATAAACGTGTAATATATAAAAAGAAATAATTTGATGAGAATGCTGATAATGAAATTACAAAGTCTCTTGAAGAATCTTTTAGAGTTGATTACTTCTTATACATAGTAGACCAAGCTATTTTTTCACTTCAAAATAGATTTGAACAATTGAAGCGTATGAAAATATTTTTGGTTTCCTATTTAGTGGCAAAAAAATGAGATCTCTAGATGATGAGAACTAAAAGAAAAATTGTCTTAACCTTGAATGTTCTTTGAAACATAATAGTTACTCTGATATTGATGGTTTAGACTTATTTTCTGAATTAATAGTTTTAAGGGAAATAATACATGTAGAAGATGATACTCTAATCGATATACTTAATCATATAAAAAGACTTGATTCTTTTTCAAATGCTTATATTGCTTATAGAATAATGTTAACAATTCCTGTAACAGTTGCCTCAGCGGAAAGAAGATTTTCAAAATTAAAATTAATAAAATCTTACTTAAGATCAACAATGTCTCAAGAGAGATTAAATGGATTAATATATTATCAACTGAAAAAGAATTATTAGAAGAAATCGATTATAAATAAATTATTAATAATTTCGCATCTCAAAAAACTAGAAAAATAAATTTCAAATAAAATTATGAGTTTTCTTCTACAACAAAAATTTTAGGGCCCCTCAATGAAGTTTGGCTTTAGGCCACAAATATCATTGAGCCGCCCCTGCCCAGGTTTCCAGATCGTTACCTACCACTCTCTCCCACACTTACCCATTTTGTTTCCTGTGGTGTTTGCCTAAACTATATATTTTTTAATTAAATATTTTTTGTTACCTAACCCAACATCAGAAAATAAGTAAGAAAACTGCTTATTTTCCAAAAAAATATTTTTTTCATACCAAACACAACCGTAGATTCTATTTATTGCTCTTGTTTAGTTCTGCGAAGATAAGGGGAGATAGAGAAAATCATTGATTTTTTCTTTTGTTACAGTATTCGATGTTTACCTTTGGTTGTTTTTACTAGTGGATGAAAAGTAAAAGTTAGAGATATTGGATATGCAAACAGCACATTTTTCATATCTTTTGTTTACCAAATTAGGGAACTATATTTAATTATTTATCCCTCACTTTCACTTTTCACCCCAACTAAACTTCTTTTCTACTAAAAAGAAAAATATACGTTTATTGTGACCGTAGGTGAAAACCATAGAAAATTATGATTCAAATTTTAGCAAGTACAAAGTGATTAATTTTTATCTGTCTTGACCTTGCTGAACAAAGTGACCCAATATGCACTGGTCAAAACTAGATAGGCCTCATCATATGTTGGTCAGAGCTAAATAGGCTCAAGAGTGATTAGTGAAACACTCTATAGCGGAAAATCATATTTCACATGAGCCAGATATTTGTTTTTATGGTCTTGAATATCTTTAGCGAAATTCCTGGTTTCGCTACTGATGCTGGTAGGAAATAGCAAATACGTGATAGACTAGTGGAGGTACGTCATACGTGCAAGCTGGCAGAACACCACCGTCGTAATAATAAATAAATATAAAGCATAGAAGTCAGAAATAAAAATTGTACTGCAATGGAACAATTATAGTCTATAAAACTTTCCCTCTTTCAAAACATAAAACAATAAAACTTTCCCTCTTTCAAAACAAAAAACAATTATAGTCTAGAAAACTTTTCCCTCCTTCAAATATAAGACAGTGGAGCAACCATTGACAATCACTGGCTGTCAATTACACTGTCATTTAGCAAATGGATCCCATCCTAGAGAAAGTAGAAACTACTTAAAATAGTCTACATTCCCTCGCCTTAGCAATTTAGCGATTTCTAAAACGTTTTTGGCCAGACTTGGAGGGACTAAAGTCGCTGCAAAGGGTTGATGGTACAACCACAAGCTCCACGCGACCTGTCCACTCCTTTCCTGGCTTCAAAGTTATGGGTTTTTCAATTGCTGCTCCATCAACACAAAGCATCTTCCTGTACTCTGTGTCGCCAAGATCCACCATTGCTCTGGATTTCTTTTCCCAGGGATTCCATAGCACTGAACAAGACAAGATGCAACAGGTACACAAGGTTTAGTCATAGGAAGGGACAGAACTACATAGCGGAAACATAGCACTGTGCAAATAGGGTAAAAGTAACCACATCTTTTTCGTATATATATAAATTGTTGAATCCTCTTGACTCCAAGTGCAGAGGCAAAGGTGGCCGAAAATTGGTTTAGGTTGAAAGTTCAAGTCACAAGTGTTAGAATGATGTTGAACTGATGCAACTTACCAATATCTGGTAACCCTTCCTTTCTTATCAGATATGTTCGCTTCCTTTCATGATCAAGAACAGCAATGCAATTTGGAGAACTATGGTAGACGCGGTCAATCTGAAAGAAATAAAGAAGAATTTTAAGCCCAAACTCCTTATAGTTTAACACGTCCAATTTACTAAAGTAGAACTAAAAGCTCCAGATCTGAAAGTTATGGCAAGCAGCTGAGTGCTTTAAGTTAAGCAATACAATTCAGAGAAAACCACATCTATTACTCCTTCCGTCCCAAATTATGTGCGACTGAGCACGAAGTTTAATAAAGAATAAAGATTTTTGAAACTTGTGGTAAAAAATAAGCCAAAGAAATTTATATGGCTATAAATTATCTCATTAAAAATAAAACAGGAAGTTTAGACAAAATATATATATAAATGTGTCATTCTTTTTGGATTGACTAAAAGGAAAGAGTGTAACATAAATTGATTCAGAGAGAATATTATGTTAAATGTCATTGCTCCAGCAAATTGAAAACTCAAGGGGTGCCACTAACACTATATGTATGATGAGAGACCGTTAAGATAACGCTTAGACAACTTAACTTTGAAGTGGAAATTCAGGAAAAACAAAAAGGGCACTTCCTGCAATTCCAGATCAATTGGACTTGGCTATGGTCATGGAAAGAAAAGGAAAAGAACTTATTCTTTCTGTCCAAAATTCAGAAAAAATCTTCTTATTGAACATCAATCGAAAGATGCTTCCCTACTTGTCTCTGCCTTCCGTGTTAAATACCAAGGGACATATCAAATATCTAAGTTGAGTCATTATTCAAAATGTGATTCGCAATAACACCTAGTTTAAGATTTCAACTAATCGAACATCTAAAATTACAAACTTTTGAGATAAATAGATTTACCTCAGCTTCAAATGTTATGGCATCTCCTTGTTCCGTAAAGAGTTCTTTCTTGCACAAATTGTCACGATAATCCAGTGTTTCTAAACCTTCTAGCCGCACTTCACTGTGGATAAGATTCATGTTAAGTTCTAAAAGAAATAAAATCATCAATCTCTTAAATGAACAATGATGTACAGATAAACTGCTTCCTCTTCTTTCTTCTCTTAAGTTTGAATAGCTTTCAAGCTTTTCCAGGAAAACTAAACTTTTAATAAAATTGCCAATAGACATGATGAAGTAAGAAAATTCATGAACATGAAAACGAGGAGAAACCACATACCTTATGTCAGAAACAGAGAAATATGTTTGGTAAGCAAATGAGAAGCTGAACGGTTTGCCGTTGATGTTTCTTATACGAGATATCAAGGACAGGCTTCCATCTGATGCAAGAGAAACCCGAAGCCGAAACTCAAAGCTGAAACATCAGAAGAAAGATATTTACCGACAACTTTGAAAACTACAGCTGTAAACAGTAACCATGGAACTGAAAGACTCAATGTTGAAAATTTACACCAAGTAATACAGTTCCAACATGAAAAATACTTAAAATTCCACTTTCATTTCTAGCCAGAAAGTTCGACTCTCATAACTTCTTTCTAAAACATTTTGACATCTTGTTTCATATTACAACAACAACAAACCCAGTGAAATCCCACAAGTGGGAAAAAGGCAGCCCGGTGCACTAAGCTCTTGCTATGCACAGGGTCCAGGGAAGGGCGGGACCACAAGGGTCTACTGTACGCAGTCTTACCCTGCATTTCTGCAAGAGGTTGTTTCCTTCTTGTTTCATTTTGGCTGCATAAATTCATGGCGAAATTGCTAGACCAAATTAAGTGTTCTTAATTGGGTGAGTACAAGGTGAAGATCATACGCATGAGGCCAGAACTTCAGATCATCTTCTGATGGTTTGAGCAGCAAATCAACAAAAGATTTTCCTTGGGTGTCAAAAGAGTTTAGAGATGGAGCGTCGTCTTCAATGGTCCAATTTTTGTTTCTGGCAGATCCATGTTGCTCAACTCCATACTGCAGCATAAGTAGGATAATCACGTGATCTGTTATTCGGCAGAAATTTATCAAAGATATGAGCCTCTAGACGTACCTGGGGAAAGAAAACAGAGATTCCCCCTCGTACAGCTTTCGAAGATTTGACAATGCCCTAAATTGTAAAGGCAATTGTTTGTAAATACGCATACTCAATATTATGCCTTGCAGAGGACTTGAACTACGCTTTTTAGCACGAGATTCTTCTTTTTGAATAAGGGAGGAAAGAGAAAGAAAGTAATAACATTAATAATAGCGGAAATGGGGGTAGAATAGATAAGGGGATCAGATAAATCAAGTAACGATGGGTTTTCCAACAAGCCTTATGAACTCAAGGAATCCCGAGAAAGTGTTTATATAGTCTTCTTCTGTCCAGAGAAATGATTCATCATAATAATGGGGAAACTACGACCAATTTAGTCATGTTCATGTTACAATTCACCACTGTTAATCTTATTTTCAGAGGATAAGATTATTGAAACAGCTTTCTACACTAACACAAACTGGTTTACAGGTGAAACAGATGACATAAGATTCATAAGTACCCTGTGTACATTATAAAGCACCAAGTTGAAACATTCTACGCCCACTATAATGACATATATTGATTTACATGAAATCTTTCATGCTTACAAACATCTCTACTGCTGACAAAATAAATTAGAAGAATCACCTTACTAATCTTATCATCAAATGCCGACTGTATTGGACTCTCTTTGACTTAAGCAAAGATTAAGCGCAAAACATTTGCATAGAGATGAACTTGGTAGAGAAGTGTTTCAGGTATTTAATTTGTAAAGTGAAGAAGTGAATAAGTGTACAAAAGAAGTCACACTATTAAATTTGAACTAATGTAAAACAGTACTTAATAATTTATAGTATTAGTTAAATTGTTGGTAAGGAGAAGGATTTACCATTTTGAAAAAGATAACATTCTGGGACCGGCTAGAATAGAAAGTACATTGATGAAAATAGGACAGAGGAGCATATGACTAGCCCAACCAACACTACTATTCACATCTTTCAGCAATCTCAATACCTATCATTAATTATTTCCTTATAAAAGAGGGCTCTCTCCATTCTCTACCTGTTCGAATGACCATCTCATATACAAGGAATTCACCTCGACATCTGGAATTTCAACAGCAATCTGAACTAGTGACTACACTGCCAGTTCACTTTACCCTCTAATCTACAAGAAAATAAACACTGAACTTCACTTTAATTAGCATTTCATATCAGCACATAGATGATCTACTTAAGCAAGCATCTAAAGGAGTAAAAAATTTCGCCAAGTCTTCTACTACGATATTAGAAACCTTTAATCCAAATTAAAAGGGCAGCCCGGTGTATTAAGTTCGCACTATGTGCGGGGTCCGGGGAGGCCGGACCACAAGGGTCTATTGTACGCAGCCTTACTCTGCATTTCTGCAAGAGGCTGTTTCCACGGCTCGAACCCGGTGACCTCCTGGATTAAAACCTTTAATCCAAATTCCCATATTTCATTCCCATGACATCAACCTTACAACGAAAGATTTGAATCGCCAGGCAAGACCCTCGTATCATTTGTCAAATTAGCCAATGTAAGAATTTTACTAATACTGAAATGGAAACCTCCACCTTACTGCTGGTGAATAGGAGCTCTTCACCTCGATCATTCCGCCAAGACGTAACTTGTCCTCCGAGCAAGCTAACCTGAATTTTGACAAAAAGTGTCAATAGCCGTATTAGGGAAATTGTCTTTCATTTCCAAAACGAGTCAAATAACAACATCAATGACAGTTCTCTTTAATTGATTGCGGATCTAACAGACGATTTAGAATCATAAAATCATTACATCTAATTAAACTAACAGATTGGTTTAGAGATTCTAACCTGTACAGAGGCACCCTTAGGGTTACGAAGCGTGACCTGATTCATACCACTCGGATCTTTCGTTACTTCGACCGAAGCCCTATGATCCCAGACAGGTGCATAGTGCCCCATTTCCCAAAAGCACTCAATGCCTTATTACAGCCTTGAAAACCCTTATTTATGCTATTTGAACCCGGAAACTGACAATGCCAATAAATTGAGGATTCGTTTCGACTAACTTAACACAATCCTCTCTGGAAAAAACTTGTAATCTAGTGAACCTCAAATGTAATCCAAAATTCTTATAATGTACCTTCCCACTATACAACTCAGATACAATTTACATTTACTCAAATCAGACTTCTACTTTGTAACAAAATAACATAAAAGCAACATCAGCAACAGAAGTAAAACATACAAAATATGACATTTGGCAATTATTCAAAAGTATTCAAGTCCCAGCCTAAATTCATGGCAAGGCAATGTGACATTTACCTAAGAAAAAGACAACTAAAATCTTGAAAGTAAATGGACAATAAAACAAACAAATATAGGAGGGAAACTTTAACTGCACTACAAACAAACTTCTATGAATTCCTAATATATAAATTTATCTCAAAATTTCAAAATTTTCAAGTCCAAATTCAAATCTTGAGTTTTAAAATTGAAACCAAGCAGTTTCCTCCTTATTACTCCACAATACATCAAATTTAGAGAAACCCCATTTGAGAAAACTGAGAATGTAGTGTAAATATACATATAATTCCATAAAATTTTAAGAATAAGCATTTAACTTTAAGAAAAATCAAGTTCAAGATACAAAGAAAAAATTATCAATATTAGAAAAGAAGAAAAAAGTGAAGTTTATTATGTAGTGCACGGTGGAACTGGAGTGTGATGCAAACAAACTGGAAACAAAGAAGTTAAATTTTACATTAAGGGTAATATAGATTTAATTAAAAACTGAACAAGAACTGAATATTAAATAAAACCTGGGTTTGCAGGCAAAAATATTCACTAACAATAAATGTGAAAAAATAAAATCTTTTTATATATACAGTATGTTGGGGAGAGGAAGGAGGAGGGCGTGGTGATAGAGGAAGTACAAAGAAGATGTACAAAACGGTCAAATATTTGGAAAAGGGGCATATTTGGGGATTGCGACACTTCTCCAATTTTTTAAATTCTCAGAGACTGCTTAAGTGAGAGAAGTGGCAGGTGTGTGTGTTTTTTTCTTTCTTTTTCTCCGAGGTTTATGTGATAATGTGTAGAGGGATCTGTTGCGCGAAATCGATATCAGAATATTGATGAGGTGGAATTCGATTGCCAAGAAGTGCTCACTGCTCTTAATTAAATCGTGCCTAATTTCTCGGAATAATTGGGGATTGTTTGTCTTTGAAGAGGCCTGCGTGCATGGACAGGTATAAGGTAGCTAGGAAGGAGGGTAAGCTAGCGGTCACGGAGGTTAAGACTGCGGTTTATGGGCGTATGTACGAGGAACTGGGGAAAAAAGGCGGGGAGAAGAAGTTATTCCGGCTGACCAAGTTGAGAGAGAGGAAGGCTCGTGATTTGGACAAAGTGAGATGCATCAAGGATGAAGATGGTAGAGTATTGATGGAAGATGCCCAGATTAAGAGGAGATGGCAGACCTACTTTCGTAAACTTCGGAATGAAGAACGGGATCGAGATATTGTGCTAGGCGAATTGGAGCATTCCGAGAGTCACCGTGACTTTGGGTACTGCAGGCGTATCGAGGTTGAGGAGGTCGTGGGAGCTATGCGTAAGATGAGTAGGGGAAGAGCGACCGGGTCAGACGAGATTCCGGTGGAATTTTGAAAGTGTGTGAGGAGAGCAGGTTTGGAGTGGTAGACTAGGTTGTTTAATGTTATCTTTAAGGTGAAGAGGATGACAGATGAGTGGAGGTGTAGTATGGTGGTTCCATTGTATAAGAACAAAGGTGATACCTAGAGTTGTAACAATTATAGGGGTATCAAATTACTGAGTCATACCATGAAAGTGTGGGAGAGGGTAGTTGAAGCGAGGGTGAGGATGACAGTGTCTGTATCCGACAACCAGTTCGGGTTCATGTCGGAACGTTCGACTACAGAAGCTATACACATTGTTAGAAGGTTGGTGGAACTGTACAGAGAGAGAAAGAAGGATTTGCACATGGTGTTTATTGACCTAGAGAAAGCATATGACAAGGTTCCTAGAGAAGTTCTTTGGAGATGCCTGGAGGCAAAAGGTGTGCCGGTTCCCTACATTATGGCGATTAAGGACATGTATGATGAGGCTAAGACTCGGGTTAGGAAAGTAGAAGGCGACTTTCAGCAATTTCCGGTTGTAATGGGATTACACCAAGGTTCTGCGCTCAGTCCGTTCTTATTCGCCCTGGTGATGGACGCGTTAACACACCATATTCAAGGGGAGGTACCATGGTGCATACTATTCACCGATGACATAGTTCTGATTGATGAGTCGCAAGCTGGGGTTAACGAGAGGCTAGATGTTTGGAGACGGTCTCTTGAGTCTAAGGGTTTCAAGCTGAGCAGGACGAAGACAGAATACTTGAAGTGTAAGTTCAGCGCTGAGCCGGGGGAAGTGGGCGTGGATGTGAGGCTTGGATCACAGGTCATTCCGACTAGAGGCAGCTTCAAGTACCTTAGTTCAGTTATCCAGGGGGAGGGGAGATCGACGAGTATGTCACACACCGTATTGGGGTAGGATGGATGAAGTGGAGGTTAGCATCTGGAGTCTTGTGTGACAAGAGAATGTCATCGATACTTAAAGGCAAGTTCTATACAGCGGTGGTTAGACCGGCCATGATGTATGGGGCTTAGTGTTGGCCAGTTAAGAACTCCCATATCCAGAAGATGAAAGTAGCAGAGATGAGGATGTTAAGGTGGATGTGCGGGCACATTAGGATAGATAAAATTAGGAATAATGATATTCGGGAGAAGGTGCACGTGGCTCCCATTGATGACAAGATGCGGGAAGCGAGGCTTAAATGGTTCGGACATGTTCAGAGGAGAAGCCTAGATACTCCGGTACGGAGGTGTGAGCGGCTGGTTGTGGAGGGCACGAGAAGAGGTAGAGGGTGGCCTAAGAAGTATTGGGGAGAGATGATCAGGAAGGATATGGCGAGGCTCCAGATTTCCGAGGACATGACACTTGATAGGAAGATATGAAGATCGAGTATTAGGGTTGTAGGTTAGAATGTAGTTGAGTCTTGCCTTACTTTGTACCATTGTGGGACTAGCTAAGTAGGGTTTTTGTCTAAGATAGCTAGTGGCAATGTTGTGTCTTACTATTTCGCTTTTCAGTGTATGACCTATTTACTAGCTACCGCTTTGCTTTGCATATTTTTTATGAATTTCATGGTTTTTCTATTTTTCCTATGATTGCTGTGGTGATACTAATATTGTCTCCTTTTGTCCTTTTGTCTTTTTATTTTCTTGAGCCGGGGGTCTTTCGGAAACAACCTCTCTACCCTTCGGGGTAGGGGTAAGGTCTGTGTACACACCACCCTCCCCAGACCCCATTAGTGAAATTTTACTGGGTTGTTGTTGTTGTTATTGTTGTTGTTGTTTGTCTTTGAAGAATCAATTCTATGACTAGGCAGCATGCTAATAAAGCGGCTCATTCTCTTACTCGGGTAGCTTTATCGTATGCAATTCGTGTTATTTGGTATTTCTATCCGTCATGTTTAGCTTATATTTCTATCCATCATGTTTAGCTTCTATTCTTTGTTCTGATGCTTCTCATTTAGAGAAAATGGATGTTTCCCTAATGTAATTATTTTGGCTTGATTACTTATTAAATATGTGTTCCCTTCAACAACAAAAAAAACCAACATAACTCTGTATAATCCTACAAGTAAGGTCTGGAGATGGTAGTGTATATGTAGGCCTTACCCTTACCTGGTGAAAATAAAGAGCCCGTTTTTAATAGACTATCAGCTCAAGAAAAGGTGAAAAAAGAAGCAAAAGGAAGAAGAATAAGAAGAAAAGGAAAATAAGAGAAAAAAGGAGAAGAAGAAAAAGAAAAGTAGCAGCAAACACTAACAATAGGAAAACAAGATAACTTAACCGAACGAAATCACATGAATTAATAGTGCTACTAATACTATTGGTAAGGAAAGGGAAAAATCTAGATTACCTACTAACCTTCTACTCTAATTCTCAACATCCACATCCTCTTATTAAGGATCATGTCCTCATTAAGTTGAAGCAGCACCATGTCATACCTAATCACATCTCCCCCATACTTCTTTGGCCTACCCCTACCTCTTCTCAGACCCGCCATGGCCAACCTCTCATACATCCTAATAGGAGCATATGTACTTCTCCTCTTCACGTGCCCGCACCATCTCAATCTCGACTCCCGTATCTTATCCTCCATGGGGCCACTCCCACTTTATCCCAAGTAACTTCATTCCTAATCTTATCTCTCCTAGTATGCCCACACGTCTATCTCATCATCCTTATTTTTGCTGTTTTTATCTTTTGAATATGTGAGTTCTTGATTGGCAAACACTCAGCCCCAAGCATAGTTGGTCTAACCACTACTCTATATAACTTACCATTAAGTCTTGGTGGCACATTCTTATCACATAAAATACTGGATGCGAGCTTCTATTTCATCCACTCCGCTCCAATACGATGTGTGGCAAAGTCGATATCAATTGACAAAATTAATTAATTAAAGTATATTTTCTAATAATTTTTACGGGCTTGACCCATAGAATATGTACTTGATCTAACAATTTAAACGTTTAGATNTATATATATATATATATATATATAAACGAGTGAAATTTATCAACAACTCTCAAGCAAACATATTTTAAATGAAAAATTAATCGAACAAAATTCGGTAGTCCAGTCAAGACAATATTTTTAAAATTCTGCATGCATTTTCAAAGAAGTTGTTTTTTGAAAAGTCCCTCAAGAACTTTTCTACTAAACACTTCATATGTTTAATTTATATAGTAATGTTTGATTATGCATAAATTTTAAGCAAAAATGTAAGACTTTTGAAATTATGACTTCAAACATGTTAGATTTCTATAGCTCTAAAAATAAGTCATTAGGAATAAAATAAAAATTATAAGTTAAAGTATTTTTAAATATAAAAATATAATTTTTTTAAACGGGCTAATAAATAAATATTGCCACATCAAATATAATAGACGAGTAATTTTTTTGAAAAGTTTCTCTAGAAAACATTTGAACACCCGATCAAACACTTCAAACGTGTTATTACTCCATTAAATAAGGCGGATAATTACATTGATAAGCTTCATAAAAAGGAAGCATATTATATTTTAAACGAAATGGAATAAAAAGTCGTGGGACAAATATAATTTCACATAGTACGCGCATCTTAAACTCAGATATACCATAGTCCAAGAGATAAATTCGTGAGCCAAAGTGAATAACACACATCATAGGCTTTAAATTTGACTAACCTACTATCAATTTTATGATACAGTATGACCTGTTGGATAAATCTATGTTTTCAACAACTCTACAAATTAGATATACAACTTTAAACTCGTCTTATATGGAGTTACAAATTCATTTCATTTAATCTTGAAGATTTTATTGAGATTTAAAAATTTATACGATGAAATGTGTTTTTATTCTGCAAGTTGAAAAAGCACATTTTTTTTTAAATCGATATCATTATATTTCACATAATTAATAGGAAATTAGAAAGACAGAATTGACTAGTAATGTTCACAAGATTATCGATATTCAAATTCGCAATGATATAATTTGAAATGTTACCTCTTAATCACCGAATTGTTCTCTAATTGAATCAAGCTTTGATTAAATTTAGGTCTAATTACTAGAAATCCACAATGTAGCATCTGTCCAATTTTATTCTTCGCAGTTAGGTTGGTCAAAACGACAGATATTCTGATTTGGAAGTAAAGTGGAAAACGAAATGAAGTCTTTTCCCTTTGCACTTCCGTCAACCTTTTCATGTAGGGTAAAAGAAAATGAGCTTTGACTTAACACTATATATACTTAGATCTTAAGATAGAGCAATACATGAAAGAGAAATCTTTTTTCTTTTATCGAATGCTCGTTTTCTTAGCATACAGACTAGATGAAACGAAACTAAAAGCCCAGTAGTTTGTTCGTAGATCGACAATTCTAGAATATATGCTACCTTTCATTGGCAATTTATTCGTTATAAGAAACTTATACAACTCCAACTTTAGAAAATATTGGAATGGACGAAATACTTTATATGTTTTGTTTTATATTGCACACATTCCTTTTTAGTATGTCCCAAAAAGAATAATAACTTTCAATATTTAGAATGACTTATCATAAAAAAAAATTTCTCTTAATGAAATGATTTATAACTATACCATACAAATATTTAGGATTTGTGTTTTGAATCACAAATTTCAAAAATCATTTGTTCTTTTTAAATTTCGAATCCAATAGAACTCTCCTCACATAAAATGAAAAAGAGGGAAGGAGTAACAGAAGTTAAACGTAAAGAAAAGAGAAGAGCTACTCCAATTTTAGTGTCACCCTAAGGATATGAACTACCACTGAAGTATAATATTTAATTCCAGTGGCGGACTAAGAAACTCTAGAAGGGAATTCAAAAAATTAAATAAATACTAGAGTGTCACATCAAGGATCGGAACTTGTAACCTAAGGCAAATTTTGTAATCCTTTGCCATTGCATTAGAACATTATATTATGCAAAGGAATTCAACAATTTATACCTAACAAAAAAAATGTTTCATTTTATATCATTGAAGTGAAGTTATAATGCCTGACTCAAAAGTTAGAAATAGTACAATGTCACTCATGATAGCTTTGACATTAGTGTTCAGTGCATTCATAATCCTTTTACCTGTAGAATTTTATTCATAGATTTTGTTTGCTAATTCCTCTCTAATTTTGGTACGTAGTACACATTTGGCAAAGTTAACATTTCCTCAAGTAAGAATTAAATATACTGGAGCTGCATTTTAGTATACTGATTGCTTATGTGAAGTAAGAGTAGGTTTTGATGTAATTTTCTTTGATCCTAGCACATCTTTAAATGAAGATTTTCACATTAATAGCACTCATAATTCAATCTCTTTTGAATCCTGTTGTACATTTAATTGTTCTGTAAACAAAGACTGTCAATTAAGTGGACAAGGCTAATAAATTCTTGAAATGGAGCACATGGTTATTGCCAATGTTGCAACTTGTTGTAACCTACAACAAGGCTTTTTAGCTCTTTCCCCTAGTGACTGTGGGGAGCCTGGGAGCAAACAGTGAAGTTATCTCCCTATGACTTATAGGTTAGGGGTTCGAACCGTGAAATCAGCCACTGATACTTACATCAGGGTAGGCTGCCTCATTACACTTCCTTGGAGTGTGACCCTTCCCTGGACTCGCACCTGCGAAAATGCAGGATACTTTACCGGATTATCCTTTTTTTCTTTTAGTGATAATATTAATAGTAGCAGGCGCCTTTCAAAGCACTTTCTAGTTCTTATATGAATACGGAAACGTAAAAATCATAAAGCTTTTATAATGTATTACTTCAAAACAACACACAGTAAGCTCCCAATCTATATTGAAACAACACACAGTAAGCTTTTAGATTCTGTCAATATCATCCTCAAACTCAACACAATTATCAGCAAAACCATGTTCGTCTTCATCAAATCCAGCACCAAGGCCCTCATTGAGCCTAATGTTGTCAGGCAACTCTTTGTAAGCCTTCAACAGCCTCGCCTCATCTGGCATGTACTTCAGAATCACATCTGCTTTATCATCCTGCCAAATGCCAATTACCAATTAGTATTTAAGTTAAAGACCAATCCACATTCTACTAGTAGAACTATAATAACATCAACAGTAGTACAATTCTCTGCCTCGCTAAAGAGAGATAATCATGAGCAGATTTGACATAGTTCCACAGCACACAGGTTGCAGGGCGGATCCAATTTTCTGTATAAAATTCACCGAAAAATTGAGTGATGAATTTAGTAGTTGAAACCGAAATCCTGAACATATAAAATTAATTGTCGATCCGCCACTGCACACGTCCCATTTTTCATTATGAATTTATGACTCTAACGAGTAACGACCCCATTGGAACTACAGCATAAAAGAACTACCAGGACTATGAAAGTAAGTAATTTTGTCAAATTAACTATCTATTTATACTACTATGTAATAGAGTAATGTTTTTACACCATTACTATAATTTAACATGTTATAACAAGTTACTATTTACTAAAGATTGTCATCCAATACTATCAAATAGAGTTATCTGAAATTACTTTTGAAATAACTTGATTTTGTAAATATTTTTTACATCGTCAGTGCACTTAAATTAAACTCGTTGCGAAGCTAAACATCGGAAAAAGACCAAGGTTCTCACAAAAGTTAGAAATCAGATTCTCAGAAAAAAAAGAGAGGAAAAAAGATGCAAGTCAAACAGGAAGTGGTGTTTCTATCAGTGGCGGACGTGAGTAACGCGTAAGAACCCGCCCTTGGGATGAACATAAAAAACAAAAAAATAAGTAGAATATATACAAATTATTAATTTAGAATTCAGTAATAAAAGAATTAAAATCCTGAACCCGTAAGATTGAAATACTAGCTCCCGCTTCCGCCGCATACCGAGTTTCTCACAAAAGTTAAACAAAAAATAAACATTGTGTCTTAATTACCTGATAATCACGAAGACCAACGAGGATGATATCATCAACAGCAATCCATACTTTTTTATGCATCTTACCACGTATGTGACATAGACGTTTTGTTCCATCAGTACACTGCGCTTCACATCTTCCATTACCTAACATACGTTGTACTTGTGCGTATTCTTGTCCATCTTCTTTGAATATTAGTTCTCTTTTTTCGTCATCTGCTTCATTCTTCCCTCTCTTCTTATTCTTTCCTCCTTTTCCCTTGTTCTTCGGCATTTTTTGCTTCTCTTTCTTATAAGCTTCTGTTTTGCTGCTTATAATTTGCGTTTCTCCTAATTATATACTGAAGTATTTTGTTTTCCAGACCGAACTAGGAAAACTAACGTGAGATGTATTCGNAAGTAAAAAGACTAGGTAATTAGCTTTAATAAATAAATTCGTTTTACGTATCAAAAAAATAAAAGGAGACTTTCTCAGCTATTTACTTGGGGACCAAGATAACTTTTATAGAGTGTAACTTATTGGTCCCAAGGTAACTTGGCAATCCGTTGCAAAATTGGACTAACAAAATGCCCCAACAATATGAAAGTGCAAAGGCCAGGAACAAAAAGAAGTCTAATCCACAGACAAGAGCCTGCTTTAAAAGCTTAGCAACCACAACATTTACCATACCACACAACTCAGTTTATTCACTGCCGTTGCCTCGTGCATACTGCTAAGAAGGAATAACATTAGTCAGTAGAAGGATTTTGCTACAATGCTGATACTCTCATAGCTACACATAAATTATACATTTTCTACCGGGGCATAAGAAAGTTAAATAACCTGTTCACAATGTTCAAAAGAACCTCCGAACTTCCATTGCATTTGAACAGGTTAGAACAACCAATATCTCTCTCTCTGAATTCCATTTACATCCTCTCTCATGTTTTGAGAGCACAAGGATGAACTATGGTCAAAAGGATTACAAAATGTTTCAATACCTATGACAGTTAGTACTGACACCTAAATCTTTCTTCTTTGCTTGTTCAAAGCCAAGAAAGATTGGGACTTCGGCTCAGCTAATAAGCAAAACAACAGCATTAATTCACATCGTGGAGATAAGAAAATCAGTGCCTGATAGTAAGTTCAGCCCTGAGATGGAGTACACCGTTAATAAAATAGAGACTGTCCTCAGCCATGAAAGAAGTCCAGGGTATGGCAAATAAGTTGCGGTAGCCAACTGCCTTACCCCCAGTAAAAGTGTAGTTCCCTTTGTATTTGCTGACATACTCCTCTGCTGGTTTTGTCCTTGCAGCAAATTCATAATCGACTGCAAATGAAACTGAACCCTTTTCCTGCATTCCAAGAAAGAGACCAAAACAATGGAAAGAGCTTTGCTGATCCATGTTGCAATGTGCGGATAGGAAAAACCCTTGCCCACCCAAATGAAAAGCTTGAGAATATACTCTCCCAGATGGAAACAGATTAGCACATTCGTCCCGCTTAAGATCCAAGTAGACTATACATTGTTGCCGTGGAAGTTCAAACTCAACCACCTTAACAGGCCGATACTTGTATGCACGCTCCACAAAACGACGACTAGACGAAGCTGATTCTTCTGCAGCTTGAGTTCGCTGACGGTGAGGGGCCTCAGCTTTAAAAAAGAGGGCCTCAAGCACAAGCTTGGATGAAAACTCATGTTCGAAGTCATTACATGTGAGAACCTTCCGAAGCTTTCGGCAGCTCATGAAAGGAAAACGGATGCAATGCCCAAGTCTTGAACTAAGAATGTCTCGCCGTTCGTCTATCTGGGGAAAATGAGCCCTTGTCCACTTCAAGACAAAGTCATATACGGCATCTTCTGATGCCACCTGGAGGTCATCACTAGACAAAATTGCCTCAATACCAGTAAGAGGTAACTTCATGACCTCATCTTGAAACCTGAGCAAAGATGCATGAGATGATTAACGAGCATAGGCAAGTACCACATGCTTTAATAAGAACATTTACAAATGTAATCCATATCTACCATTCACACAAGAGCAACATGTTAAAAATTTCATGTCATAGTACTTTTACAAATTAAAATGAATTACACCGCTTTCATTAAGTAACGTTTTATGCATTGAAACCATTATGTACGTTAATTTATTGCCAACCTTCTGATGTTAAATTTAAATGAAAATTTTATGCACACGTATAAATATATGGTGGGCTTGTTATATTCTTCTTTATAATTGCTTACATCAAATTCTTATGTTACAATTGATAGATTTAAAATTTTCACAAAGTTGCCAATATGTTACCCAGATGTTTGAAATGTTTCCAGTTTTGCTAATCAGAACTTATTATTGAAACCAAACTTTAAACCATATGCTGAAATTGGTCGAAATAAATTCTGGTAGCAGAAATGTTCCTTGGATAACAAACTTCAAAACAAAAGAAAAAGGAAAAAGAGTAGGCATAAACAGAACTAACTTGGTTATATCTTTGTATCTTGCAGCTAGGAATTGTTTTGCTGTATCGGTCAATGGCTGAACTGCTTCAGCCATCAGGACACTAGAAGGAAGCTCCAAATACAGCAACGCCGACTCCGGAGTCATAGGCAAATTGCGTAATAGCCGGCTGCAATACCGCATGCAAGAAGCAACCTCAAATTTGTCAGCAGCCATGAGTACATCCAGCAAAGCAGGAGCTGTACTTGTAGTTAATGTATTGCTATACATGAAATTCAGGAGCTCCATCAATGCAGCTTCCTCTGCTCCATGAGAATGAATGTAGAAAAATCACTTTATGCGAGAAGGATACTGACTTTCAAGCCACTTCACAGATGAAGTAACAACATTTGATTCACAATTTTCAAAACCAAATGTGCAGTAAATAAATATTACTATTCTGTTTATAACCAGTAGATAAATATTATAAAGCACTTAAAATATGACAGAATAAGCATTTCAATTCCCTACAATTTGCAAATTCCTCATATTCATGATGAATGGGAAACTGCATTCATGAGAAACCTTGTCCGCATCAAACTCTACTAAAGTTATTGATCATTAAGTCAAACAACAGCACACATACCTGAAGCATTAATCCGCAGAGTTACTTGTCTTTGCTCAGACTCTCTCATCCCATTCGAAAAGAGCTGCACAAGTTATATAATAAAGCAGGTTCAAACTTCAAATACAAATTCAAGACAGTGCATAAGCAGCTTACACATGAAACCGAATGTTTACCTTGTAGAAAAATGGACTCTTTGCTGCTAAAATGGGGGAGCTAATGTGTAATGTTTTAACTTTTATAACTCTTGGAGAATCACAGTTCCAAGTTGAATCGTCGCTATTAGCAGCTTCATCTCCTGCACCGAAAACATAACATGGTTTATCTATTTTTTCCAGCCCGTGTCACACCACCCTTTTTCATGACTTCATTGGGGGCAGAGGACGATAAAACTGCACTCTGTAACCACATTGTGCTGATATGAAGACCATTAATGAAATTTTCTTTAGGTTTGCTCATCTGTCTTTCCCGTTCATACTGGCACACAGGGAAACTCCATCATATAACTAAGGCTCAAAAGTGACAAAAGAAATCCGAGCACAAAATTTAATGCATTGCGCTCCTGGGTTTTCTCAAAAAGGCATTTACAATTTAATCTTGGAATACAATTATACAAATTATAACAAAAACCAGCCAGTATATACTAATCTCTCCATCCAATCAAACAAGTTACTTATTAAATAAAAAATAATACATCGCTAAACAAACTCAATCTATCTTAATCTACTATAAGAATTTATCCTGTCAGAAACAAACTGACAACTAGAAACAAGAGTTCTTTTCATTCATAGTTGTGGTACATGGACCAGCTTGCTTATAGCCTTGTACCTCAACCAATCCATCGTGTGCTACCTCCCACTAGTATACCAGGTAACTCCAACCACCAAAGCCTAGAAAGATGCCTCTACTGGGAAATAGTCTCCCATGATCCATTTCAACTTAGTTGATAACTCGAAGCAAGATTTCTTGTCCAGGTTACAGAATTTTCCCTGCTTTGATCTCCGAAACTAGGTCCGGCCCTTCACCGGACCCTGCGCATAGCGAGAGCTTAGTGCACCGGGCTGCCCGATCTCCGAAACTACTTTCATGAGATACTTAATCCACTATGTGAGGATAACTGACAGAAGCAATATGCAGCACAAATACATGCCCAGAATAGTTCTAACATACAAGTCAAACAACTGAACTTTTTACTTCTGAGCAATCTGATTTCCCTAGGCAGACCAGGAAGAACAGTTCCAAAATCTCTCGCATAAATTCCCTCTAAATGGGAGTTGCCTTAGCATAATAAAGACGATATTACACGATGGAAACAAATGACCCTTTAAAACCTACCACCTTAAGAGCCAAACTGATCCATGAAAAATGGGGCAGGACACCCATTTTGGGGTAATATTTATTCAGAGGTTAGCCGTCACCAAGCCTTTTATATCCCATGGAATTGCAACCGTGTTTCATATTGTGTATCCTTTCTATTTTTGAAAATTCATCAGACAGTAGCATTTCAAGTCATACTGAATTCAGGAAACTAAAAAGAATTTAAGAACCACAAAAGTTCTCAAGGAAAATAGGACCCAAGGAAGAGAAATCTACAAAGTGATTTTATTATAATACCTGAGTTTGGCTCTTCAATCATTGCAACAACTGATTCGTCTTGATTTTCATTATCAGCATCTTCACTATCAATTTGGTTACAGCTTATTATCTGCTCTTCAGGGCATGCTGTGATATCCAAAGCTGCAAACGAGTGGCACATGTCTGGTTATCATCAGAAAAAAACCCATACCAACATAAGAAAGAGTAAAAGTCTAACCACTATGCATAAGATTTATAACAAGGGAAGAAAGTGTAGTGTATATTGTTCATCCCTTGCCTCCCTACACCCAACCTCCCCTAAAATGAAACGGTTACAGAAGGAAACTATTAGAAGGTGAAGTCTCATTGTAAAAATATGCAGCAAGTGATATCTTTAAGTCCGTCATGGTTTCAAACCAGAAATGGAGAATCTGTGAAAACTTCATTCCAGCAATTATGACACTTTGACTAATTATAAAAAACACAGATTACAAAAAGGTAAGATAAAGACATTTGAAACATGTAGAAGTCTATGCAATATGGTGTTCATATCATTTAATCAAAATCTCCTTAAAATGTTCAAACTATAAAATGTTGATTAATGTCATAGGGAAAAGCTGAGCAAATAATTCCCATAAATAAACATTTCTCAAACAGAGGAGCGGTCCATGCCAGCTTGCACACATCTTGACCAATTTGGAAAACCCAAAACAGCCAACGAGTACTCATGCCAAGATAAACCTTCTAACCAATGTGGGAGCAGGTGAGCTCACATTGAGTGTTGTTACAGGGATTCAAGCCCCGGATCACACTCAGGCACCATCAAAAAACATTAAACAAGCAAAACCTTTTTCTTTTTTTCTTTTTTCCTTTATTTTTTTTAATACTATCCCACCGAGTACTGCTGCCTTGCCCCACATTTTTCTCTTTCTCTCCCTTTTTTCAAATAATGTTATTGTCTAAGCCAGCTTGTGTGCACCTCACTATTCCACCGGATACCTGCTACCGCTTGAGCAGGACAAGTACCGAGTAACTATGCCCACCAACGCTTAGGCTGATGAAAGAAATGACCTAGTTGCCTCATTTTTCTCGTTCTCTTCTTCACTTCTTCCCCCATTTTTTCCAGGTGAAACTATAATCTAGGGAAAATACTATAACATCCCAAAATTGCAGACAAACAAATCGAAGAAAATAAAAACAACAATACGACAACGTTTTCCTTAGATAGCGGTTTGCGATTACAGCTATTAACAAAACAAACCCTTAAAAAGGGCCAATTACAGCTATAATGAGACAAAAAAGCTAACCATTTTCCTTTTTGAAATCTTCACGGCGGCGCTTGCGATTACGCGCCCAATCAGCAAGGCTGTGGCAGCCGTGAGAATCAGAAGTGCCGTCGCCGTCGAGCGAGTCGCCGACGATCTCGATCCGGAGGACACGGTCGGAGAAGTTGCTATCGTTGAAGGCAAAAGCGAAATCGGGTTCCCGGGTACGGGTTGGGGAGAATTCGGGGTCCATTACAGCCGTTCTCGGGTCGAATAGGTCCAAATTCTGGTCCTTCATACTATTCTCTATCGAAAAACCCTAGCTGGTTTGTTGCGAGGATTTGATATTGGGAATCAGTTATGGCGTGAGATTAAATTGGAGATAAGATATTTATTTGGATTCGAGTTGTTGCAGAATTATTAAACTAGTGAGAGAAAAAAGAAGAGAGAGAAGGGGACAAATTTGAGTATAGGTAATGGTGGGTTCATAGTATTCACATGCAATCTAAATTATTCATAATTTCATATGTGATTAAATTCAAATTAATTAGAGTTAATCGGTATTGAAATAAATACAATGAGCGATTGACTGGAATAGCCCTATAAGGAACTGATCTTTAAATATTATCCTACATATTTTTTTTTTTAATCGAAGTGACAAAGTTTATGCTATATTTAATTTACTTATTTTATATAAATAGTTTACAAACTCTATTCGATTGACATGATTTTGTATTTTTTTAATTGTTCATCAAAGTCTATCCGACTGGTATAATCTTTTTGTGTTGTTCCACAAAATATTCTTCAAATTTGAATTACAATTTCGATCAAAAACATCCCAAATGTATTTCAAATAATCTTAAATTTGAAACAAAGCCTCCAAATATCAACCCTTCCC